CTAAAGCATTAACATTGCAACAAATTGGATCAATTAAAGAGATACCGATTCATTCGTTTATTCTTTGGCGAAACATATCACGTGCGGTAAAACAACAAATAAATACTGAATATACGTTTAATTTCGTCACTCGTATTATGTTAACGTTTCTTTTTGAGCTGTTATGGTGTAAGTGCGCTACAGACAGAAACATGCCAATTAATCTATGGTAGATTGTAACACACTAATCCGCCGATGTTGGATCAATTAACCAGGAACTAAGAGGCGATCCGCCGACACGGCATTGCATGACACGCCACTCTCCTCCCCCTATGCGGGGCAAGCCTAACATAGCCGGAGAAACAAGGGCAGAGCAAGGCGGGCGATACGGGGGAACGCATGATTACAAAATAGACCCCAGGCTACAGCTGTGGCTTGGGAGTGCTTTGGAGAATGTCAAAAGGTGAAGGCACTTTTTTCCATCACAACATACACATTTTTGTTCATGGATATATTCATGACCCCCTAGTCACTTCGAGGCGAAGCAAATCAGTTTAATTTCTGGAATTTGATTGTTGAGCGTACGTAAATTGAAAAAAAGAAGAAAGGAAAATAGTTGCTGCCTGTGTCTTTACTTTTCAGTAAGCATATAGTCTGGTATTGATTATTGGACAAGTTGCATGTTTTGTCACCCATCAACTGACTCCGGTGTTGCGTTTTCCCTTTTTATCAGTACAGGATGAACAAATTTCTTTCTCTAGCACACAGATTACTTTTAAAACTATACATGTATGATATTAATGATGGATCAATGTGTATTTTATTCACTTTACCTAGGGCGGGCGAGTAGAAAATATTGTACTGATATGTTGAAGGAGTATCAGATTTGATAACCTGCTGGTTAATATTCGTGAATTTTTTCATGATACCAATTTTTAAAACGCAGTTTTATACTGTTCGGTTTTTCTAAATTTGCGAAACCCTTGATATGTAAATCGTTTATGTAAAAAATAACTGTCTGCAATCAAAGGCAGACTGACATAAAAAAGGAGAAGAATAAAGAGAAGAAAAAGACGAAAGAGGAGAATGAGAAAAATAAGAAGAAGGAGAAGAAGAAGAAGAAGAAGAAGAAGAAGAGGAAGATGCTTAAAAGTAGAAAAAGAAGAAGGAGAAGGAGAAGAAAAGAAGACGAAGAAGAAGAAGAAGAAGAAGAAGAAGAAGAAGAAGAAGAAGAAGAAGAAGGAGGAGAAGAAGAAGGAGGAGAATGAGGAGGAGAAGGAGGAGGAGGAGAAGGAAAAGGAGCAGGAGAAGGAGAAGGAGGAGAAGAAGAAGAAGAAGAAGAAGAAGAAGAAGAAGAAGAAGAAGAAGAAAAAGAACAAACCATATGTGAAACCCTGGAACAGACATCGTACTGTTAAATTATATTGACCAAATTTAACCAATTGTGAACAATAAATGTGAAGTCAAGAAGGCATTATTTTCTGTGTAGCATCTTTATCAGATTTCTGATTTCCTGGCCTACAGCGGTGGTCTTTTTTCCAGCTGTTCTACACTATACACACATCATATTTGCATGTTAAAGTTAATATAGAGACTGTAACAGCTCGTATTATTCTATTATTCATGGAAACGTCTGTTTTTGGCGGCTCGGGTAGCAATCAACGGAAACAATAAGCTGTGAATTTCTTCACTTTCGTGGAGAAAAGTGCTTTGCTGGAGGGTGTAATGTGGCAAAGATTGGGCGGCAAATGGCTTTGAGGCGCCACACAAGTTTAATGCTGTATGAGACAACCTTAAATGGTACATTCACACTATCAGCTATTTGCATGATGTAAAACTGCTTTGTGTATCTATACGCACAAATATCCATTGCATCCATTGGTAATGTACATGCGCGCAGTCATGTGTACTCTGTATGAATCAAATCCATGGTGCGACCGCCGCGCCGGTTAAAAATTATGGTAGTGGTGACGCACCTATTATCTTTTTTTAATGAAGATACAAAAGTGACCGATAAGTCTCTCTCAACTTACGTTAGTATTTACGATTGCAAAAAGATACAAGAAAATGGTGAGCGGCGGAAAAAAAGTACCTCGTTCTATCTTTCGCCCCTTTAGTCGTTTTTCAGGAATTAATGAAGGCATTTAACGTTCGTTGCTTCAACAATTCACTCTGTGCGGTGTGAAACTCCTGTAGTTGATATGTGCTATTCCATTTCACAGAAACACACTTTCTCCATCTCTGTCTCTTCTGCATTTCACTCAGACGTCAAAAGGAATAACACAGACGTGTGCATTATCGCTTCAATTGGCGGGAAATGGCTCCCGCTTCTCAACACTTTCTGGTATCGGTTTTTCACACTTTCTGATAAATCGTCTGCAAATAAAATTGCTTTTAATGCATTTTGATAAATGTAGCCCATCCATCACTACACCTATTGAACAAAGATCCCCCGGCGCTTTACCAAAATCTATTCTTTCTACAAAATCCTATTACCTTGGTGATATATCGAAGATGTTTATCTACGTATAAAGTTAGCACCTTCCTCCTTAGAAAAGCAGCCGGCATGGTTAAAAGCGAATCAATCAAATTCACGATTTTTGTATTTCTTTACTACAAAGAACAACACCTATATCATAACAAATGATGAATGTAAAGTGTAGTGTTTGGGTCATCTTATTCTGGCTCTGATGATAATACTTTTGCAATATTTCTGAGCTTTCGGAATACTATGATTGAATCATTCTAGTCACTATGTAATTTTTGCAACTTTTTTTTTCTTCTTTATTTTTATGAATTGAATGAATAAAGTCACATTGGAAAATCAAATTAAAATTAGTATGAAAAGTACATAAACAAGATTACAGTCTGATAATTATCATTAAGGAAGTAATTGTACTACGATTCTGTTCCCCTCTTTTACATTTAGTTCTCTAAATTGATATCCTATTATTACCATTCTCTAAAATCACTTTGATTTTGGTCTAAATTCATTCAACTCCTAATCTGCCAATTAATCTATTCCTCTATTTTATTTCCTTTTTTCTCATTTTTGTCATTTTCCGGTCTTCCTCCCTTTAAAAAACGAAGAAAAAAGAAAGAAATATAAAGCTGACAAAATTATACAATAGTCATTCCTTGGAATTTGTATAAGTCGTTCAGAGTAATATAAGTCTTTAAACAACCAAAAGAAATGCGGTTGATTTCTAAAGGTTACATACATCAATATCATTCAGCACATAGATGTACGCATTTATGACTGCATAGCGCGTGCTGCACGTTGTAATTATAGTACGTGTACTTCAAACAAAATGATGCATTCATTTGAAGAAAATTGTTTGAATGGATTGTGAAGGCGAGATTTCAGCTAATGCTATAGAACTCAAATCAAATTCATCCGGGCAGAAAAAGGATTTGACGTTCTTTCCAATCCGAGGGATAATTGTAGAAGTATATATGCGAGGAAGAAAAGCAATTTCCTAGTCTATGCGAATATACTTCCTCATTTTACATTATTTCGATAGATTTTCGTTTTGCTATAAACCTGGTATAAGTGTGTAAATCCGCTGTGAGACATTTGCAATACATTATAAGGGCTTTTTAAATTTATAGAAAATAGAGAGGGATTGATGAATTGAATTGTAGATAATTGAGTAAGAAATATGAGATAAAAATGGGGAGACTGGGGGAGCTAGATTTTTTTCTCAGATTTTTAAAATGCATGCTTGCTTTGACACTTTCGTGGTGTCATTCTTCCTTGGATTATTTGTTGTATATATCCTCGGAGCGATCAACCTGTTTCCGCCATATCTTTTCAATTCTAACAATGGCAAAGTAGAGAGGACCGTTCATGAAATCAATATAACTGTATACACTTATACAATGTAATCCTAAAACAGAATGTGTAACATATTGCACGTACATGTGACGCAATTATGAAGAAATGTGGCATCCATCTTTAAAAATAAGTATATAACCGTTTGCGCAAAAAAGTACTTTCGTTCAAAATTGTGTTTATCTTTTAATGATTTTAATATTTTTCAGTACCTCTAGGCATTATTTGCGTTTTGCACCCACAATGCAGCAGTGTCTTCCGCTTCGTATGGTGTCGCTTAGAATAATCCAGATTGGATGAAAAGTCAACGTTAAAGTGACTTGGTAACATTGTTGAAGGTTGATGAAAAAAATTGCTTAATTTTTGTATAAATGTTACTTACTATATTCCTTCTACTGTACTAACCCTCTGACAGGCAAAAAATCCTGAACAAATTCTCAAACCACGAAGATATCTATGGTTTTCTTTGAAGGCGTCGATGTGAGGCACCCTCTAACAGTGATTAACAGTAAATTCTCCCAACCATTTTTAAATTTTCCCAACCGTTTTTCCATGAAAAAAAAGACATAAAACAGGCTATAAAAAATCTGTCAACACTTAAATGTCTGGAATGGAATGTAGAGCCATTTTATTGCTTTGTGAGATTTCCATTCACCTAAAATGTAACTAAATTGTTCTACAGATCTAGATCTACACCTAGTTGGGAGAATTAAGGAATCGATCAGATCAGTTTTTCCCAATTTGTACCATGAATAATGGTCCGTTTTCACTCAAATTTTCAGATTATCTTTAATTGTACATCTAGCATTGAAGTCACTACCTTAGAACCACTATCTCTCATCTGAACAATGTTACCAAGTCCCTTTAACTATTTAGACGTATACAATATGTGCGTCAGACTAATGAATATATCTTAAATAAATCCTTTACTGTATAGATAATCATACACACAAATAATGAACATTTATTTTAAAAAATGGTAATCAAGATTTTATGTTAATGGAATAACCATATCATTTGTTATGAATACATAATGATGTAAATGATCCAGTGTGAAATTTGTATTCGAAAGCATGTACAAATTTACAGATTAGCCTTTGGCTTCAAGGTGGTGCTCTATAAAAAAAACATCCCTTGGTTTCAGTTTAATAAAACAAATCTCGAGGGATGAAGTGAAGAAACTCACCTTTTAGTCCGTCATATGACCAAATTTCAGACCATGTCCTCGCTGGTTCACCTGAAGAAAGTAGAAAGAAAGAATTAAGATAAAGACGATTAGAATTAGAAATCAAGATGCAATATTACTCATTTTATTGCGCGAGGCATGACGTAAAAACTATTGATAAGGAATCTTTGAATAAACATGGTACAAATCTTTTTCTCCAACAAGAGTACATTCCAGTCTCTTTGCTTTATGATCATGAATCTTTTCCACATAGGCCTGTTGATATTTTGGCTGAAAGGGGATATTCTAAAAATTGGAATAGGAATATCATGGATATAATTTCTGATCTAATTATTATTCATTTTAAATAGTTTCTTAACACTGACCTGCTATCTGTAGGTCTATGTTGTAGCAAGATATTTATTAAATTGTCTAATGATAATAGTATCATAAGTATGATATCTAAGTTCAACATGAGTAATAATCAAAATGAGTTTAATGACACGCCCGCCCATCAGGAGTAAGAATATAGAGCATTCCCTTGGGGGGAGTGCCCAAAGCGACATGTTTATGTACAGACGATATTATATTTCATTGACGGTGCAAAAACCCGGAAACTATCTGAAAATCAAATATGGCGGTCCACCTTGCCGAGCAAGGCAAACACTGTAGGCGAGACAATGTTTAATGTTTCAACCATCGACGGGAAAAGTGCGACGCCTTAATTTGAAAAATGATATTTAACCATGGGCCCGTAATTGGATCTTTTTTGCAAAGCCGTGGCAATGAAAATGGGTGATTCGAGCTTAACTTCACGCAGTAATGATGGATATTTCAGCGTTTACAACGGGCGGTCCTCAGGAATTTTGTAAGTGTATTATCTTTCATTATAAAGCGATGCAAGGTTGGAAAGCCTCGTTCAAATAAAGCGTTACCCCCCCCCCCCCCCCCCCCCGTCAAAAAAAAAGTCCTACGCGTATCCACTGAGCTCTGAGCAATATGAAGCGAATTACACTTTAAGGCAGTAGGGGGACTGCACTACTTGTAGCTACTTGCGCCCTCCATATAGCAAACAATGCCTTAGCGGTACCCGTTGGTCCCCATGATCCTCCCTTTTTAATGTTAATTGAGAGAGCTGGTTTGATGAGATAACTACCTGTCAGTGACCCCCCAACTGATCTCAACCATAATTTCTATTAACCCTTCTGGTTATGTACTTCGTTGCATTTCTCTCTTTTCTTCATTTAGCGAAATGATATCTCATTATTCTCGATTGCTGAGGTGAAAATGAAAATGAGGTGACAATGAAAGTAATATATAATCGTATTTATTTGGATTAGCTTTGGAAGTGAACCGGAAATTAAATCCATTCTAAAATTCCATTTGCATGATCACAGTCACAATGCTAATTCAAATCTATAATGGATATCGGATAAATAAAACGACCTCCATTAGAAGAGAACGTCCTTCATTTCGTATTTTTCCCTTGATACGAATATTATAAACCGGAAGAAGTGACAAAGATTCATAGTGACAAATAGAGATTAGCACAAATACCACCTAAATCACCGGCACTTTTAAATTGATTATTATAGTCGTTGAATCATCTTTAACAGAGGATTTTGTTTGATTTTTAGAATTCAGGGACATTCTTTTAAAGAGGTGGTATCATTGATCGTTAAAAGAAATGAAATAAATATTCTGAACATTACAGATAATAGCGTTAGGTAAATATAAACCTGCAACAACATAATACTTGTACATGTATAATCTATACATTTATGAAAACATGTAGTACTTACGCGTATTTATAATATTTCTATATCAATCAAGAGTTAAGTTATTTCCGTCATTTTTGCATATTAGAATGTTAAAAATCATAGGCTGTGATATTCACAACATGATTTGGACACTGATTCGCACGGTATACAAGAGCTACATAGTCTGCCCGTAAATAAATATCATTTTGTGGCTAAAGTATTTCATGGGCTCGGATGTCTGAAATAATTCTTAAATATCGAATTTGCAGACCTGACCGCCAGCACTTCTCCAGTTATAATATCAATTCGGATGGGAGATAGGAAAAAATCTATTTCATCGACCTAATCTGGGATGAACTTTCTTTCAATCGATAGTGCTAGGATATATATGCGATACAGTAGCAGTATATACACGTAACTTGAGGTCCGAAGATGGTATAAGGTATGAAAGGGGTCGTTCGCATGGCTGAATAAACCAAGCTTTCATCACTCAACTTTTGTTTCAAGTGGATTCTTGGTTTCTCTTGTTTGGTATCATAAACTGTATTAAATTTACCCGTTTTTAACCCCATTGCTGATATGCTCATATTTTGTTAAAACAAGAACAAGATGTAAAACATTAGCTCGCGACTTAGATTTTTATCCTATGAATATATGAATATATTTGAATAAATTACTATTTCGTATCTATTCGACAGTTTCAACCTCTCTGAGATAAATAGGGCTTACATGTCTATTAAACATGTACCTATCTGTAAACATGTGTAGGTCTATGGTCTAAATATAATTTGATACCTGATGGTACTTGCCCAAAGAAAAGACTGAGGGTGAGGATTGGCTTTCTTAAATGACATTTAAACAATCAGGGCCATTACTTACATTTTTAAAAACAAGGCGTAAAACTGAAGCAATTTACTGGTCATATCAATTTAGTCCTGTCTACGATAATGTATGCCATCGTAAACTAAAGTAGATTGACAACTCAACGATTTCACTTCATAGGACGTATTTGTATTTTATTCTGAAAATGTTCGTCGAAACTTGGAAAACTTTTCCTTTGAAAAGAAGGGGGGGGGGCTCCAATATATGTTTCTTACATTATTGTTGTCATATCTAAAATGATATTATGATCATTATGCAATGATATTACACTTCGGTTTGTTCGCACTCGGTGATGCGTCAGTTGTTCGGGTATTTATGGGCGGGCATGCCCCATATATCGGCAGCAATGGCAACATCCCTGCGTATAGCAGGCAACGAAATGTCATTTCATCATTTTGGAATTTATGACTCTTAATTACAAACATTCGAAGTGGAGTGGGGGACAAGCTGTTGATATCTTACTGTCAGTCGTCCTGTAAACATGGCCCGCCGTGGCAGGTTAAAGACCATTTTAAGGACCATGATGACATCTTAGAAGTCATTAGGAAGGTTGAACTTCTGCAGAAGAATGGCGTTTGTTAAAGGAAATATCCATCCAAATCTGTAAGTTTGATTCTACCGTATGTGCAGAAGTGGCTTTTTTTGGTTTAATTTTCTTAATATCAAAGTGCCAGGCTCTAGAATAGATGATACCGCTCTAGCTGTAATTCTCCACTACAACCTTGTTTCCTTTATGAATTGTGCAAAACCTCATATTACATCACACACATAATAAGGTAGTCGTGTTTGAGCTAAACTCACGCACATTAACGCACCTGTCATAACAAATAAAGTAATTATTTCTCGAAAGTTAAACAAAAATTAGGTATAAATTGCTTCCAAACACCTTTAATGTGTGAACTGCTGTAGGTATTTCTGTGGTTACGGAGCGAGCGATGGTAAAGGGGGTATGCACTCACTAATGGGGGATGTCACGTTATTCACATCCTGACGCCGCTATGAATGGAATAGACTTTCTTAGTAGCAGCTCAGGAATCTTTTTCGTTGGTCTGTATGTGGACATATGGACAGACTGACGTTCGAGCTGTCATTTGCATTATATAATAATGAACTTGTTTAAGAATTTTAATCATGACTTAATTTAGATAGGAACTGGCACCTCCCAAATGTGAAAGTTCACGGGAATGGAGGGAAGTGTTTAAAATCAATATCCCTAATGAAATCATCTGGTATAGTCAAGATGACGACGTTACTCATTAAGACGCAAAAGCTGATTAGGCACTCTTAAGTAATTGCTGGCAAGAGTAATACCATTCCAATGAGTTCTCCTTCCATATTCATCATCACAACATCGGGATAATGCTAAGGAAATAATTAGTAATGTCATGTACCCCGTTAATGGTATTAACTCAGCGCGAGCAGATTAAGACTTGAGATATGAAGCTAGTAAGAAAGTGAGGTTTACCGCATCCAGACAGCTAGGTTGTATTTTGGAACCACTAATTGATGCAGCATGTGCCTCAAACATGCTCTTGTAATGACGGGATCAAAGGAGACCGATCTTCATCCGTTCTTCCGATGATGCGATCCAGCTCATCTCCTTGTTTCCATCTTCACTAATCAACTAAAATTGATACTTCAAAGGGTCTCACACGGTGCGAATATTCTTAACATCACTGTAACATCTTGAGCAGAGCGGAAGCAGGCACATTTTGGTTTCTCTGTAACCATAAGACCATGAAGACCTCGGTTTAAAGCTATTTCTAAGATTTGTTCTTCTTTCCCCCTCTCCCTTTCTCTCTCTCTCTTTCTCTCTCTCTCTCTCTCTTTCTCTCTCTCTCTCTCTCTTTCTCTCTCTCTCTCTTTCTCTCTCTCTCTCTCTTGTGTCATCTTTACCTTTTATGGCGTTTTATTTCCACCCCTCCTCCACCCTTCTCTCTTCTCTCTCGCTCTCTCTCACTTTCTCTCTCTACATGTATATCGCTCCCCCACTTCTCTCAGTAAAGCATATTTTTTTAAAGTTGTTATTTTTTGTTTATACACACCTGTATGATCAAAGCTCATTATGTTAAAACAAGATTTGTAAACAGGCCATAATCTAGAGTAGATGTAGAAGCACTGTATAGGGATACGTGGGAGTAACTATGCTGATGAACTAATATAGCTAGGAGATAAACGGATAGGGAGGGGAAGAGAAGCACAGACAGGGGGTTATTGAGACATTGAGAGAAGTAGAATGATGAGGAAAACAAGAGATACAGAAACAGAAAGAGATGAAGAGGCAGGGAGGGAGAGGCAGGGAGGGAGAGAAAGAGAGAAAGAGAGAAAGAGAAAGAGAGAAAGAGAAAGAGAGAAAGAGAAAGAGAGAAAGAGAAAGAGGAAAAACGAAAGAAAGTGGGAAAAGGAAAAAGAAAGATGGAGGGATA